TCTGGCTTCTCCGGCTTCCAAGGCCTGGATGCATGATATGGCTTGTCTTCAGCAATGTCTCCCAGGGAGTAGTAGAGAGAGAGAGGTGTCTTCTATCTCCAAGGAGGAAGTACCAGATTTCCCAGAATTCTCAGGAGAAGGGCATGCCCACACAGAAGTCTCACTGGCTATCTCCAGGTTGAGAGCCTAGACTCCACCCCTACACTCTTAATCCTTAAATTGACACCAGATTAAGTGACTACCACAGAGCACCCCTTGTCAATTTAACATGTTCACATAACTCTTTAGCCACATATAATTTTCAAACAATAATAAAATCATATCTGTACCTAATAGGATAAAACTAAAAAGCATACAATTCAATATGTGCCACCCTCATTTAAACACAACATTCTATAAGTGAACAAAACAAAAATAGCCTATGCCTAACAATTGCAATTAAGTAACACCGACACCTTGATCCTATAATCCTATGAATATATTCCCCCATCTGTGAAAGTTTGTAAGTCAACCACTTCATGCCTTTATCTCCCCCCACCCCCAATTTTTGGTATTCAATTTCTATACTGCCCACTTACATTAACCCAGTGCTCTGAGGAGACAATCGTATTTTTTGACATGTAGAATCTTCATTCCAGTTGGAACCTGGTGAAATCTGCATCCATAAGCAAAGTCAACTCAGGATAGGCCATCCATAAAGTTAACAGCAATATGCACCAGTTCACAGGCTCAAAAATCTCATCTGCTCGGGTTCTGGTTGACTCAATGTGGGTGCCTCTCTTAGCCTCACCAGGGTGTCCATTGGTCGCTTTGCCTTTAGACCATGGCCCCATCACAAATTCTCAACAACCCTAGCCCCTTGTGCTAGGTCATGAACCTCAGACTAGTCAACCCACTCTCATCTTCTCCTCCTTCCTGTGAGCCAAGTTCAGGGTGTCAGTGGCCAGACTCAACCCATCTCTTCATTGCTGCATTTCTCCCACTTCCATTGAACAAGTAGATCCAGGTGGTCACTTAGCAAGCATCTCAGCCTGCCCACAGGCTCCCTTTAAAGTTCAGCCCCAGAGAGGATTTTTCTTCAGGATTCCAGATTTTTCCAGTTTTTGACAAAAACCACTAGAGTTCAAACTTCAAAACCAGAGTTCCTTTTTTCCTTTAATCAGTAAATCTTGCTCTTAGGCAGATCTCTTGGAATGCAAATGTCCTCAGTACTCCAAAGCACTGGGTGGGGCTTATCTTCTCAGAGACTTCTTTCCAGGCATGGCCTAAACCTATCTAAAGATCAAATTAATGACTTGAAGCAAATGGGCTTACAAGCTCTCTATTTTCATACTTCCCAAAATCATTTCTATACATCTTTATATCTATAATAATAAGCACAAGAAATAGGTATAAACAACAGAATCAGATATTAAACACAATTCTTAAAACAACCAAGTTCAATCCTTATTTAGCTTATCTAAATCCTTATCTAAACTACTCTATTTATACAAAAATATGGGATTAGGTCTCTGAAGGCATCAAAACAGATCCATACTTGCTGTCAGCCATTTTCCTTAAGCTGCACGGTTTCTGAGAAATTCAAATGGCCATTTCTACCCCTGAGCTCAAAATATACATTAACAACATTCATGTTTACCATTTCACACAGGAATAACCAAATAATCAAACATAATAATCAAAACTTTAACCTCCCATATTCTTTCTAGAAAACTCAGTAAACTGCAAGGATATATCTGACTTCTGGCTAGCCTGAGAAGGAACACTACCATGAGGTAGAAGTCAAACATCTATTCTCTATCTTTATTATTTGTTTCTCTACAGTAGTACCCCACTCCCAAGGCACCATAATATGTTAGTCTGGGTAGACTAGAGAAACAAATTCACAAACATGCATTTTATATAAGGGAGAGGTTTATATACAAGAGGAATTGAACATTGAGAAAACATCCCAACCCAGTCCAGTCTAAGTCCTTAAGTCTGATATTATCCCATATGTCCGATACCAATCTGTAAAGTTCTCTTCAGAATCACGAAACACATGCAATGAAGCCAAATGCAGGATGATCACAAGCCAGTGGGTAGAAAGTTTTTGGGTCCAGTGGCATTGTAAGCATCTCAATGCTGGCAGGGGTCTCTCTCTGGCTTCTCTGGCTTCCAAGGCCTGGTTGCATCCATGTGGCTTGTCTTCTGCAATGTCTCCCAGGGAGTAGTAGAGAGAGAGAGGTGTCTTCTGCCTCCAAGGAGGAAGTCTCAGATTTCCCAGAATTCTCAGGAGAAGGCCATGCCCACACAGAAATCTCATTGGCTGTCGCCAGGTTGACAGCCTAGACTCTACCCCTACACTCTTCATCCTTAAATTAACACCAGATTAGGTGACTGCCATATACACCAACCTCTGAAGCCCATAATGAAGAAATTGAATAATTCTACCAACTTCTTCAATCTGAAATTAATCGAACATGCAATCAAGAAGCATTAATAATACTGGTGATTGTAATGCAAAAGTTGGAAACAAAGAAGGATTTGTGGTTGGCAAATATGGCCTTGGCGATAGAAATAATACTGAAGATCACATGATAGAATTTGCAAGACTAATGACTTCTACATTGCAAATTTCTTTTTCCCACAACATAACAGGCGACTATACATGAGCTGTAGGAGCCCTAGTGGTGTAGTGGTAATGCGTTGGACGGGCAGCTAATTACAAGGTCCACAGTTCGAAACCAGGAGCCACTCTGAGGGAGAAAGATGTGACTTTCTGTTCCCATAAAGAGTTACAGTCTCGGGTAGTTCTACTACCCTGTCCTATTGGATTGCTATGAGTCAGTATCGACTCCGTGGCAGTAAGTCTGTTGGGTTTGTTGTTGTTGTTGATATACATATGGGCCTCACTAGATGAATACACAGAAATCAAATGAACTGTGTGAAGAGACAATATCATCTGGAGAAGCTCAATATCATCAGCCAAAACATGGCCACTGGCCAACTGTGGGACAGACCATCAACTGTATGCAAGTACAGATTGAAGAAAAATAAAACAAGCCCACAGCCCCAAATACCTTAAGTATATTCCACCTACAACCTTTTGCATAGCTTCAAAGCACTGTCATATACAGAGTTATGGTAGCAAAAAGGACTGGCCACTTTCAACAATTTCAAGAGGTAGCATGTGATGGAGAACCCATCATAGCAAAGGAAGAAGTCTAAGCTGCCCGGGAGGAATTGGAGAAAAATAAGGCTTAAGAAACTGATGAAATACTAAATGAAATATTTGAATAAAGTGATGCAGCATTGCAAGTGCTCACTACTCTATGTCAAGAGAGTAGACAACTAACTGGAAGAGAACCGTATTTGTGTCCATTCCAAAATAAGCAGATCCAACAGATTGTGGGAATTATTAAACAAAATCATTGATATCACATGCAAATAAAATTTACCAACAAACAAACTTTTGTTGAAAATAATTCAAAACCAGTTGCAATATGTATATCAACAAGGAGCTACCAGAAATTCTAGCCAGATTCAGAAGGTGACAGGCACAAGGGATGGATGTATCATTGCTGAAACCAGATGGAACTTGGCTGAAAGGAGAGATTTTTAGAAAGAGGTATACTTGTGTTTTATTGACTATGTAAAGGCATTCAATGGGGAGGATCCAATAACGAAGGATGGGCAATATTGAGAAGAATGGTCATCCCAGGACATGTCATTGAAACTCCTGGACATCCACCATGAGATAACAGCCTAGTGAAAGGGTGGCTTGTACCACCCAGAGAGGCCTATTCTGAACAAACTCGGACCATCAAGTCAAAGTCTCTAGGACAGAGCTGCACTGCCCCCGTGGTTCTCTGAGGTGGGGAACCTTAACCAGAGATGGGAAGCCCCATCTTTGTGCTGCAGAGAAAGTGGGGAAGGGGTCCAACATGCTGACCCGGAAGTGAGCTGCACGAGGTGTAACCCACTATGTGACCAGGCCTCGAGGCTTCCTACTCTGAGTAGAGCTATTTAAAAGCACCTGTTCCACAGGAGGAAGAGGAAACTGTCAGCTCCTAAAATGATTGACAGCCTCCAACATGGCCGTATAGAGTCTCTGAGGGTGAATTGATGACTCAAAATCCAACTCCCCGACGTCCTAGCTCACCCACAGAGCAGGGTAGGGCTGTCCTGTGGATATCTGAGACTGTAACTCTTGACTGGAGTAGAAAGCCTCCTTTGTCTCCGGAGCAGCAGCTGGCGGTTTCGAACTGCCGACCTTGCGGTTAGCAGCCCCCGACCGTGAGTTCAGCCCACCGAACTGAAGCGTTCCGCCTAATTCATAGCCCAAACCGGTCCTGTGCTCCGGTTCCGTGCAGGCCAGCTGCCCTCCAGACAGACCCGGGTTGGAACCGCGGCCCTGCCAGTGGTCACCGGGGGGCGGGAGCCGAGCTCAGCGTGTGGGCAACGGGCTGGCAGGAGGGCCCGCGGCCCCCAGCACGTGCTGCCGCCCGACGCTCGGCGGCCCGAAGGATGCCCGCGCTCCCCTCCGACTCGGCCGCCGACCCCGGCGCCGGCGCAGCCTCCTCCGGGAGCCCGGCGGGTTGGGCGCGCTCCCAGGCGCATTCCTGGCC